CTCTGTTTCTGTTCATTATTGGTCTTTTTGTTTCATTGGAAATATCAGAAACGTAATAATATACGGTGACGTGATATTGGAGTTCAGATTTCATATTTTTATTTCTCTCTGTATATTATGCGTTCATTTGATACGATGGGAAAATAACAACATGGCAGCGCATAGAGGTGGGTGAAAGAAGAAGTCGTAAAGAAACAGGAAAATTAGTGAGGAAAAATGAGTTTTCGAAACTGCGGGTCTTCGAACCGGAAGCTGCCACGGAAGTCTTTGGTTGTGCAAAAGAATGAAGGTAATAACAACAAGTATAATATCGATCTATCTCGCGTGAATAACGGTAAACTGTAGATATTAAACATTTTTTGGAAAAGAATAAATTTTAAATTTAATACTCGTCGATTTTTTAAATTTATATGAAAAATGAAAGAAATTCTTGTTCAATAATTTTCTTTAAATAAGCAACTTTCGTTCGATGTTAATTTCAGAACTTCAATTTTAACGTTTTAATTAAAATTTTACATTTAACTTATCGCAGTTTATTTAAAAAGTATATTTAAAAATTAGCATTTAAAATTTGTGGTTTTTGTTTAGAACTTTCTAAGTTTTTAAACTTTATTTTCTACTTCTATTTAGCATTTTATTTGCTATTTCTATCAATCATAAAAAAGATAAATTTCATTTCAAACTATAAATTTCATTTCAAATAAAAATCAATTCTTATTGTAACCAATTCTATTAATCACAAAAAACGAAAGACAAGTTCAAACATAATTAAACTTCTCCGTAACAAAAAATCCCTTTTATCCTGAAAGCTTCGACATTTTTCTCCCTTTGCACAGTGTGCATTTTTCTCTGGTTTCCCTTCATCTTTCAATGCTCCGGGTTTCATCGAAGAGCGGTTAATTAGCGGCGATTTATCAAGAACCAGTGGTTATCTGAATCGCCATTTACCGAGTGCTTATCAAGTAACAAATTAAACAGTGCGAGGAACAATGCCGTTTGCGATTGTGCACCTTAACGGAAGCGTCAATATTTGCTGGAAAGTACATCAATTAATAATGCATTAAACTCAGGTCTGGTGTTTATTAATTCCTAGAGGTATCGTAGCCGATATCTATCGGACGTCAATATTTATTTTCGCTTCTCGGCAATTAAACGGGAACGAGCTAAGGCTAGGTTTATACGGTAACCATTCGACTTTTTGCGGTTTTAGGAGATTCATACATGTATTTATATTGTATTTCCACGCGCCTTAATTCCACGCTCCGTAATTTCCACGCGTCGTATTTCCACGCGGTGTATTTCTATGCGTCGAAATTTCTACGCGCCATAATTCCTCACACTGTAATTTTCACGCGCCATAATTCCACGCTCCGTAATTTCCACGTGCTGTATTTCCACGCGCCATAATTCTACGCGCCATAATTCCGCCCGCCGAAATTTCTACGCGTCGAAATTTCTACGCGCCACAATTCCACGCGCCGTATTTCCACGCGCCGTATTTCCACGCGCCGAAATTCCACGCGCCGAAATTTCTAAGCGCCGTAATTTCCACGCCCCGTATTTCCATGCGTTGTATTTCTACGCGTTGAAATTTCTACGCGCCACAATTCCACGCGCCGAAATTTCGGAACTTGGAATTTCGGCGCGTGGAAATTCGGCGCGTAGAATTTCGGCGCGTGGA